GTAGAAGAATATTAACACAGATCTACCACACCTTTCCTAAGTTTGTTATAATGGATCCATATATATCTCTAGTGACCATTCTGACCAACATTTTTCTCCATATTTGACACGATGAGACATATTTTGCCCACACATCCTCTAAATTTCCATAGCAACCAAATGATGCATCCACTATACTGCCAGCAGATTACATTCATTCACAAAAAAGCTTGCCAATTAAAAATGTAATTGCTTTACATTTCATTAAAGGATTAAACGTGTTTCTCCAAATTAGGATTAGTTTCATGCTGCCCTCAGTACAATGAAACACAATAAAGATGGAGTCAAGACTTCTGTGACCGGTCAGTCCACTCTACTTAAAGTCCAACACTAGAACTCTCTATAGTATTGTTCTTTGTGTGCAGGTGTAATGGTATTTCTCAAAGAAGCCCAGGTGATTGACAACACTCCCCCAAGCATGCTGGGAAATGAGATAAGCTACAGTTAGCAGTTTTATGCACTTCTCCGAAAAACTCCGGCAGCAAAGATGGACTGAAGGCTGGTGTAGAGATGGAGGAGAGGACAGTGATTCTGAGAGAGTGACAGAGCTGGGGGGATAGGGAGGGTTTAATGCAGTGTGTGTGTGTTTGTGCGTGTGCATGTGTGTGTGCGCTGACCCTCTGCGCAGTACTATCAGGCATCAGCCCTCAGTCTGCAGACATCTCCAGCCCACTGCCCCTCTCTGTCACTCACTGTACTCCCACATGAGCCTCGGCCAACTACCAGCTCATTGCTCAGGCTGTGTCAGAGCTGTCACACTGTTCTTTTACACAACGCTGTGAGGGCTAGTTTGACTTTAGCAGGGAGTCTATGCATGTGTGTAGTGTTTAGAAGTAACTGAATATGTATGTACTAAAGATACATATTCAGAAATTTGTCACAGTGAGGGACAGGAGGACATTGGACAAACTGTTCTCCATCATGGAAACTACTGCTCACCCACTGCACCAGACTATTGAGGGACAGAGGTGCTCATTCTCCAACAGGCTCCTACAGCTCCACTCAAACAGACTACATTTATACTACACTCCATACAAATGCACTTATGTAATAGATAATCTTCTGAGATGTCAATCATCATATCATCTTTGCACTATTTCTCCTTACAACATCTTGTATATACTGTGGCTGAGATATATTTGTATTACTACATTTCAATATCTTATTTTTACTTGTACATATACATTCATATTCAATTATGCCTTATTTGTCACCAGTCTCTCACTATTTTTCATACTTTATTAGAATTTATTATTACCATTTATATTTTTGCTCTTTTGTTATTATAATGTTTTGAAAGATATAGAGCTCTGAAAAGACTGAATGAAGCATTCAATTTTGGTTGTTTTAGTTTATATTTTGTCTCTTATATATACAGTAAGTTGTAAGTGAAATTGTAAATGTTAACTTGCTGTTCATACGCAGTTTTTTCTTAGAATTCTGTCATTGTTTAATGGGGTTAGTACCTTTTACTTCAGCCTAAACCCTTTCAGTCATGATCTACGGGATTGTAGTCTATGTTTTGTTTTGTTTTGTAGTGCTGCAAAATGACTGAATAAACTACTACTACTACTACTACTAATGCATTGTGATATGTGAGCTACTGTATCCAAATAATTTCCCTTGAAGATCAATAAAATTTAAGTCTAAGTCTAAGGATATTTAACAGTTTTTGAAAGTACATGTGATTTGTATCAGGTGAAAAAAGTCTCCAGTTAAAGCTGTGTTATGCAACTTTTCTGATAGAGGGTTTGCCACTGGCTTGTCTCCATGATGATGTTATTTGCTTTGCCTGGAAGTTACAGATCAGATATGTGGAAAGGTGACCCTGCTCACAGTAAGTTGAATAAGTGCAAGATAGACAAGTTGAAAGCTATAATGTGGAACATTCCAGTCAAAGCAATAACGTCTAGAAGAAAGCAAGCAGGGAGCAGGCTCCAATCATAACTGTGCCATTTGTTGCAGCTAAAACATAAAAGAAAAATGGACCCTTATTATGCTATGTCCTGATCTATGTTATAATGTTTACTCATCAAAAAAGACTTGGAGTTTTGTTTCATTCACACACAAATCCTGCATATTTAAGCTGAGTTCTTTTCTGTGGTAACACCGGAAAAGCTCCACTGTGTTTTTGTGTGTTTTTAGACTCCATACACCTCCACTAGAATTATCTGGATGATTTCAGCCCAGGAGCTGCCAATCAAAATGCCAAGCAAAACACAACTCCAGATATATTTTTGATGAGGTAACAGCATTTTAACATGGCTTAAAATTCATAAGAGTCCATTTTGTGTAATATAGGACCTTTAAACATAGGCTATGTACCTCCATGGAGACAAGTAGTCGAGGCTGGTTGACTTAAATGTGTGCTATGGTCTTGAGCTGAAATGAGTTAATCAATTAATCACAACTAAATGATTATTAAAACATTGTCATCTCATTTAATAACTGAATAAATGTTATCTGGTCTATAAACATGCCCTGTGCTGAGAGAAAAGATCTTATGACTCAGACAGAGCAGTAATTACATCAAAGTGACACAGGAAATAGCTCTACTATCAATCTAAATATATTACCTGAACACAATTTAACCAGTACCACATTGCATTTCTATTGTTATGTTAGTGACTTAAAGTTTTGAAAGATAATAAAGAAGCTGAGATAGCTTTTAAGTGAAAATTATAGAAATATATGTAGGATGGATATATGCAAGGACGCTGTAATCCGTGTCTTATATGTCAATACAATGAAAACACATCACTCTGGGGATAAAACAGTCATGGACAAGGTGAACCTGAGCCTGTAGCAAACTCTAATGTGCCCAGTCCTGAGAGGAGAGAGCAGCTGTCAGTCATACTGTTGCTACAAGCGATGAGGATGCTGTCAATCACTGGTCTCACAGCATCCAGACCATTAATAAAACAGGGCTGCGCTTCAGGAAATAAACAGGAGTCCACGAGGTATAGGCCCAAAGCCAGCACATATAGTGTAGCCTATAATATGAGGTAATGATAAATGGACACACTCGGAGGAGGCTCATATAAAAGTTAAACAAATTCAGATTCAAACAAACACAAATAGGAATAAAAGAACTATAATTATAATATAACAATAATTGTGGATACAATGATGTTATGCCAAATAAAGGACAAAATGTGAAGCTATAATTGAATGCAATAACATGTTTTAGTCATACTCACATTAAACTGATGCATTTTTGTATGTTTTGTTCTTATCCACTGATATACAGCATTTTGGCTGGCTTTGTCTCACTTGACTCAACTCTTCTCCTCTCAAACGCTCTGAAGTGGTTGGGGGAGTACAGACGGAAGAGTTATGAGCTGCAGAGATGATCAATAGGAGAATAAAGAGCCCTGACACATGCCGTAGATTATTACGCAGTGTTATGTGAAAGCCCATAGAGACTGCACAGTCCTCAAGGTTAAAACACACTGTTCAGAAGTGTGTGTTACAGCTCCAAACGCACTGAGATCCTGAGACATAACGTCAGAGCATTGACAAGTGGGACATGCTACAGTGTTTTACAGCAGTCCTGCTTCATTTATGGCACTTGTCCAACAGCAGACAGCTGAACAGGTGAGAGATATATGTGCAGGACTGTAGGGTTGGGCCTTACTTAAAGGACCAGAGTTTGCCCATTGTACATGACCAGAGAAAAATCAGCATGGCCGCTTGATGTGCAAGGAATTCACACATTGATTCCAATCGATAAAATCATTTCACATTCTGTGAAATGATTACTTTGAGTGCTCATACACACGACGCTATTGGTTTAGCAAGTTTTCCCTATTGATTATGATTAACTCCTTAATGCCTAAATTTATATAGATGCATATAAAAAATGTTTTGTGTGTGTTTTTGCCTTTAAGTAAGCAAATTTGCGACAACTAGTACCAAGTGCTTGCCAAAGGTTCCTAGGACGGTACTGCATATGCACTAACCGGCATTGGGGGAATGCAGCCGCTATCTTGACTTATATCTTGATCCAAAGAGTTTGTTGCATATTTGTGACAGTTGGCGTTAAGGGGTTAAACTATACTTTTCAATAAACTGTCCAAAAGGTGAATTCACAAATATGATTTTTAACAGTGACTAAATTTACTTAGAATGATGTGAATGTGTCATCTGAAACTCAGCAACTAAGTCTGACACAGTGGGACTGGTTATTGTGCAAACTAAAGTAGAGCAAAAGCTATAGGGAAATAACTGCTCAAAAGATGTTGTCCATTAACAAAATCAAAAAAAAATATAGTCCATGTGGCAACTGTCTGCTTTAATGTAGGGAATAAAACTATGCCCCTTGATAGTCCTCACATTCTGGATTCCACAATTGATGTTTAAGGCATACGGCCATTTTTGATAATATTCATTTATATGTTAGCATCACTTATGTAGTGATTTCAGCTTTGGTACATAACTTCAGATAGAGAAGGTGGCTGCAAACTGCCTGAATACTTCACATGAGCTGTTTAGTTGTTGAACCTGCTTGAAGAGAAAATAGAGTGAATCTTCTCCATAAGTGCAGTGGCCGAAGCAGTGTAAAGTTAGTAAGTGCTGCTGTTAAATGACTGACCATAAATATCACTATATTTTGTTGTTTGTTTGAAGTCTATTTGTGTCCTAACACTCTCCATAGTCAGATGTATTTGGCATTTCAACTTTTATTGCAAAATGGGCCATTTGCTACAACAAACAGAGGCATTAACTCAAACACAGCACCATTTTCTAAACCAACGCCAACTGCTGCAGAGGAAATTGTTCAAAACTATAAATTCTTTTCCTTTTATCTATAGGTTATTCCAGATAATATGCACTGTATAGTCAATGATCACCAATAGGAATGATAAGAGCACAATTTCCACAACCTTTAAGAGAAATAAGGTAGATTTAGGAGCCATAAGCGTTCTGTTTTTGTGTGTGTTCTTGTGTTTGAGTCTTACCGTTGTAGGAGAGGCGAGGCTTGCTTAGACACATAATGAAGTGAACCTCCATTTCATTGGACGCCACAGACTTGGAGCAGACAGGACACTTGAATCCTGAAAAACACACAAATAAAATTTCATGGTAGAATTTACTAAAACATTGCGCATATATATTTTTTTCTATTTTATTCTGCGAGTGTGGTTTGATGGATGAGGGCAAAACTATGACAAATATGTATGGCGATGTTCAAAGATTACAGTTGTATATGCAAGGCTGAAGGTTCATAAAACACGCAAAAAATGTAGTTTGAACAGACCACACTGAATAGGTAGTGCAAGGTAAGTGCAATTAAGATAAAAAGAGAGAGAGGACAAAAGTTTGGATGTTTGGTCACCCATCAGTTTTTGTTATTGTCTATTGAAAAGAATGTTCTGTAAAAATGCAATTAGACCTGCTTTCTGAAAAATCTAACAGAGCCAAACCTTGAGGATTTACAATTAATTATTACATCACTATCTGTTATATCAGCTATCTGCACAAAAAAAATCCATATTGGTCGGGTTCTAGTTAGCTGTTGCATAATATCCGTTTCAACTTATTTATTGTGTACTTGGCATTACATAAAAGTATGCTCAAGAAAATATCATAGAAACACAGCACAATGTTGCATATATCTTGTACAGTGAACAAAACATTAAGAAACAGAAACAGTGTGTGGGAGGAAGAGCTGTAGAATCTCCACTAACTACAGTATATTTGTGCCCTCAACATGATTATGTACAAGTTTTAAAGTGTCTCATTTGAAAAAGACTGGGTGTACAAAGAGAAACTGTCTCCCTTAACCTTCATGTTTAAGTTTGTTAGAGAATACACATTTCTTTGAGCCATGTTATGCAAACACACAAGAATAATTAAATTAACCATTGAGCCACATGAGAAGAGTTAAGCTCAAAACAGTTGTTCAACGGCTTTCTTAAATGGTCTTATATTACTCAGAATTGACTCTTGTGAGCTTATAGCCATGTTATAATATTACCTCCTGTACCTTCTGTTTTGTTTCATTCACACATCTTTGAGTAGTCCTATTATACGTCTGTCTACATCTCCAAAGCTCAAGATGTTGAAGCAGTATTTTCAAGTTAACAGCTACCTTTTATGTTTAGTTCAGTAAAGATTGGCAATCTCGGGAGGAGTGAGCTTGAGATTGACAGGCAGATCAGTGCAGCGTGGGCAGTGATGCGGCCACTGTATCGAACCGTTGTGGTGAAGAGGGAGCTGAGCCGAAAGGCAAAGCTCTCGATTTACGGGTAAATCTACGTTCCTACCCTCACCTATGATCATGAGCTCTGAGTAAGCTCGAAAGGACGAAAGGACGAGATCGCGGATACAAGCGGTCAAAATGAGTTTCCTCCGCAGGGTGACTGGGTGCTCCCTTAGAGATAGGGTGAGGAGCTTGAGGCTTGAAGTAGAGCTGCTGCTCCTTCACATCGAGAGAAGCTGAGGTGGCTTAGGTATCTGTTCTGGATGCCTCCTGGGCGCCTCCCTTGGGAGGTGTTCCGAGCACATCCTACCGGAAGGAGGCCCCAGGGAAGACCCAGGACACACTGAAGGGAGTATGTCTCTTGGCTGGCCTGAGAATGCCTCAGGGTCCCCCCAGAGGAGCTGGAGGAAGTGTCTGGGGTGAGGAAGTCTGGGAGTCCCTGCTTAGACTGCTGCCCCCCGCGACCCGGATAAACAGAAGAAAATGGATGGATGGGATGGACGATTGGCAATTCCAGATCTGACGTTATTCAAACAATTCTAGTGAAAATGTTTATGAAGTTTAAAAACACAGTGAAGCACTTCCTGTATTACCACATGACATCACAAAGTGGAACAGAGAATGTTTTCTGTTTGAACAAAACACAATTCCAGGTCTGTTTGTGATGAGGACACAACATTATAACATAGATTAAAAAAATAGTATAATATGAGCTCTTTAAACAACAGTGCCTTAAACACAGTGGAAGTATCTTTGTTACAAACAAATCATTAATCATTTTACATAGAACCAGAGGCATTTCCTTCCCTTTTCAATGTGAGAAACTAAAACTAACACTGAGCTATGCTTTTGAGAATTCTTAAGTCAATTCAAATGAAATCTAGTCTTGCACGCCTGAACAACTTTCTCATTGTATTCTTTCAGTATACGCAGGTGAGGTGTAAATACCAGACGATTGCTACCAGAACTTTATATTGATATGTTTTCCTTGGATATGAGCTTTGTGTCCTTGGTGAGAGCAAAGAGGTATTGATACTTTGTAGCTGATATCAATGCTAACTGTGAGCATGCTCTGTCTGAAGCTCTGTGACTCAAATTAGACTTATCAGAGCTTTATTTAACACAATCAGACTAGAAAGAGCCGACTTAGTTGGATCTACAACAGATGAGATGATTTGTGCTGATAAACAAGTCTGTTGACATCAAATTACAAACACAAGTTAGCATTAGCCAACAGTTTTTCAATTAGTCACTCTCACATTTTTGTTGAAAATTAAACTCCTGAACAGGATCGCGTGAGCTTGTATTGATCACAGGCTCCTGAAAATGTACAGTTTAAATCCATTTTTTATTTTTTATTTAGTTCAGAGTTTTCTGACAGTGTTAAAACTTTTTGGCATGGTGTCACTTCTAAACATTCCATCATACACATACATGTAAAACACCCCTAATGTGACTGTTTGATACAGACAGGGGCAGTCCTAGGGCAGCAGTATGAGCTCTTGAAAAAAAAGTGCCCCTCTTGGTTGTAGGTGCCCCTGTCAGGATGGGGGGTGAGGGTCCTCGCCCAGGGTGTAAATCAGTGTAGGTTCGCCACTGGAAATAGAAATGCTGAGACAGAGGTTTCATGCTTTTTACATAAACCTGTTGAATGAAACTCAGTAAAGGGCTGCAACCTGAGCTCTCTGAAGAGGTTTTAGAGATCGGAAACAGCAGCATCAGCATGAGAACATTGTAAAGTCAGATGGAGCAAAAAATGTTAGAGTAAATCATTTTGCAATAAAAAAAAAAAATTCAGCGCATATTTTGTGGTGTAAATTGTAAATAACATTACCAAGTATCTCAAAATTGTGTTTATGTAATTTCTCAGACTGTAGACTAGACACGCTGTTTTCCCACAATTTGCAATAGACTGAAATCAGAGTTATCAAAAATTTCCCAGAACACTGCCAATGTTTTCGTTCTGATATGCATGCGTGAATGAGGGTCATATTTGAAAGTTGCAAGGTAATTTTCCAGGAACTGTGTAAATGAATAAACAGGGCTTTTTTATATTAAATTGAATTTCAGATGGATTTAAAGGGTCTATATAACATAAAACTGACTCTTATGAGCTTTAAGCCAGGTTATAATGTTGTTGCATTATCAAAAACATACTTGAAGTTGCTTTATTAACACATTTGAGTAACCTTTTGTTATTAGTCTGTCTACACCTCCAAAGCTCAAAATGCTCTGTTCCACACTGTGATGTCATGAAACAGATACTGTACCTTTTACCTTCAGTTCATTAGAGACTGACAAATCCAGAGCTGAAATTATCCAAATGATTTCTGTACTACCACATGACATTACAAGTTGGAACAAAGTGTTTTTAGTTTGAGAGAAGAACCGAAATATGCAGGATTTGTGCGTGAACATGTGTAGATGAAATAAAAACTCCGGGTATATTTGTGATTTGTGATTATAACATAAACCTGAAAGCAGCATAATACGGACCCTTTAACATTTCCTTGCATATTTGGCTTGTAACAAATGCTCCTATCTCAAACAGAATGCTAGCCACTCTTGCCAGGAGCGAATAGTAGTGGTACAGTAATTTGACAGTTACTCACTACACATGGGCCTTCTACATGGCAGCTGACCCACTTCTCCCCAGTCTGCTATTTTCAGAGCCTCCACAGAGACACACAGAGGAAGAGATGCAGGAAAGATGAGAGGAAGGTGAGGTGAGTTCAGGTTCTTCAGGAAAAATGAGTATTCATGATCCAGAAAACCTCCCATTTGGATCCACCAGGACATCTCATATTCACAAGGTCACATCGGGACAAAAATAAACCAGGGAGCGGTAATGCATTAATGCTACCGGCTCCTATGTGAGAGCGGATAGAGTGGCTGGGCTGAGCTATAGGCCTATCCTATTCAATACAGGACAATTTACTCAATATTTGGGTCACATATTATCAGAATATATTGATAGTTTGCAGCTGATGTCATCATTTCCCTGGGGGTGTGAAGCGAACAGAAGGCACTGTTCTGTCTGAATCTCTGTTACTCAAATTAGACTTTAATCAGAACTTTGTTTAACACGACCAAAAAAACAGAAAGAACTAACTTAATTGAAACTACATCAGTGGAGCTGGGTTGTGTTGTTAAACCAGTCCCTCTCTAAGAACATTACAGGCACAAGTTTGTAATTTTCCTTAAATGTTCAGACTGTATTAAAACTTTTTTGACAGTGTTTGATAATATGTGCATTGTGTTACCATGGTAACTCCTAAACATTCCTCTAATAGAGATAAATGTAGAACACCCTCACTGCAAAGTACCAATACACAGGAACTACAGCCTACTAATGGGAACTATATGGCTATCTTGCTTTGATTATGACTAAGAATTCACTGAACCTGCCAAGGACTAAAAAAAAGGACCAAACTGAGTCTAAATTATGGCTAAAGATGATCACAATCCTAAAATTAAACCATAACTTTATAAACAGTAACAGTCCAAAGGCAAAAATATAAATAATATGATTGAAATTGTAACGATGAATCACTGGTGACAAGACTTTTCTGGAATTGATGATACAACTCAATAGCTTGTCAAGTCCAAAGTCATCACTGAGTTATTCTTAATGTCAAAGAAAAACAAAACAAAAAGGAGGATTAATTAAATGTGTCTAACAGCATTATAACATGGCTTAATGCTCATGAGAATCAGCTTTTGTAATACAGAACCTTTAAGTCTGTCCTGTGCAAGAAAGCATTCAGACAAAAAAGAAATATTAAAAAACAACAGCGTCATCTTTTTGTGACCTCTCCCGTTTTGATCTATTGCACCTGTTATGTACAATCC